ACGTCTGCACACCAGCCCCCCCCACACACACACACAGGCCCAGAGCGAGGCTGCAGCATGGAGGCCTCTTCAGAGAGGCGGGGTCCAGACAGGGACGGAGGCCGGGGAGGGATGGGAGGCAGGTGGGTGCGGGTGGCCAGGCCTGCCTAGGAGGAGGCACTGGGGGAGAGGAAAGCACTATGACACCCTGCTCTCCAGGCAAGAGTGCAAAGGAGCCTGGTGCTGCTGTGCATGCGCGTGTGCACGCGCACGGGCCTCTGCTGATAGTGTAGCTAGTGTGCATTGAGCACCTACTATGTGCCGGACTGGGTGAGCCTCTGATGGGCGTCATCTCCACGCGCTGGATCAGCCTTAGACGCTTCCCACATCGTCGGGGGTGGGGAGGGAGGAAAACACTGAGTCACCTGTGCAAGGTAACCTGACGGTCCAGGAGAGCCTGGGATTTGAACCCGTGGAGGGGAAGTTGAGAGGTTCCAGGCAGAGCATGTGCACGGGCCCTGGGGAGTTGGAAATAATGGGTGCCGGGTGTCAGGACGGAGGGCAGGAGGGCAGGAGGGCGGGCAGGTGGTACAAGCAGACCTACCCTCAGGAAGATCTGTCAGACAGACCCACGAGGAAGGCAGAGTTGAGTTGACACACAGATCCAGAAGCTTTAGGTCCTGAATCAATGCCGCAGCAGCAGCAGCAGGGGGAAGAGGAGAGGCAAGAAATGTAGAAGCTCCCGGAATCTAATCTCCAGACTCCCCCTCCCTCCCTCCTGCAACCTCATCTCAACTACGCTCACCAGCACCTTGTGAGATCCCTGCCGTCTCTACCTTCCCCAGCCAACTCAGGGTTACAAGAGCAAAGAGCAAATACCGTGGGTCCAGATGGAGTTAGCCAGACACTCGTGGGCCCTGGGCCTATCATCCCAGCTCTGTAGGAGGCCCCTGAGAACTGAGGATCACAGTTCAACGTGAGCCCAGGCAGGAAAACATCTCAGAGTCTGATCTCTAGCTTAACGTTGGGAGGGGGGGGGGAAAGCCAGAAGTGGGAGGTTTAGCTCAAACGGAAGAGTGCCAGCCTTGAATGGAAAAAAGCCAAGGGACAACGCCTAGGCCCTGAGTTCAAATCCCAGGACCTGGGACACACACACACACACACACACACACACAAGCGATCCATACAGGGGTAATGGAGAAAGGCAGGGTGGTGGGAAGGAGAAGAAGAGAGGATTCCCTTCTAAAGCACCTCCATCTTACTAGAAGGGACACAGCCAGCAAAGGAGAGAGGAAAGAGCTGAGATCTGAGAGTTCTGGGTCCCAGAGATTCTTCTAGAAGGCTGGGGGTGGGGGAGGGATGAGGTTGGGAGGGAGAGAAGAGGAGAGCTGTGAAAACACATCCGGTTTGGCATTTGGGGGACCTGTGAGCAATGCCAGCTAGAGCAGTTTTGGGGGGTTCTTTTGAGGGGGGGTACAGAGGTAGCAGATTCTCTGATCTCAAAGAGCAAGAAGAAGAAAAAGTGGGGGGCACGAATTTCAGACCCCCCCATTCCATCATTATGCAGAGCTTTAGGGAAATGTGAGGCTCGTGGAAAGAGCTAGAAAAGGGACAGGTCCCAGGGATCCAGACAGAAGCAAGGGGGGGAAGAGAGGAAGGAGAAGTAAAGGGGTTCAGAAAGAGGGGACTCCCCAAAAACCCAGAAAAGGCAGAGTCACAAGTGCTCATGCTTGCTGATGCGTGTGTGTGTGTGTGTGTGTGTGTGTGTGTGTGTGTGTGTGTGCCCATACTGGGGCTTGAACTCAGGGCCTGAAGGTATAATCCTCTTTTGCTCCTCAAGGCTGGAGCTCTACCACTTGAGCCACAGCTCCAGTTCCAGCTTTTGGGTGGTTCCTTGGAGAGAAAAGAGTCTCATGGATGTTCCTGCCCAGGCTAGCTTTGAACCACGATCCTCAGATCGCAGCCTCCCGAGGAGCTAAGATGACAGGCGTGAGTCCCTGGTGCCGGTTTTCATGGTTTTGAGAACAGCCACCGTTTGCTGAACCCCTATCTTGTGCCAACCGCGTTCCTGCAACGTGGGGCGTCATTCTGCTTGGGCAAAGTGCCAGAGCTCCCGGGAAAGACTCCCACACCACCTGAAGCCCAGCCCAGCCCCTTCCCCTGCAACCCGAAGCTGGGCGCCGGTGGTCACGCCTGTAATCCCAGCTACTCCGGAGGCTGAGATCTGACGATCCTGGTTCAAAGCCAGCCCGAGTGGGGAGAAAATCCATGAGATGCAAATCTCCCATTAACCAGCAAAAAAGGAAGCTGTGGCTCACATGGTAGAGTGCCAACTTGGGGTGTAAAAGCTAAAGGATAGTGCTCAGGCTCTGAGTTCAAGTCTCAGTACTGGCACAGACAGTAGAGAGAGAGAAAAGAAAGAGGAAGAGGGGGAAGGAGGGAGGGAAGGAAGGAAGAGGTAGGGAGGGAAGTGAGCAGGAAAGGAGGGAGGGAGGGAGGGAGGGAGGGAGAGGAGTTTGAGTTTTGAGAAATGGAGAAATCAGTTACAGAAATTCTCTACCCAGTGAGCAAAAAGATTGCTTCCGGGCTGACAGGGCCACTCTGGGATTGGGCTGGGGGACCCTGGGAAAGTTCTAGAAGCTTAGCTTTGCAAGTGTGGGGGGGGAGGAAGCAGCCATGCCCCCATGCTGTGCTGCAGGAATCTGATTCTTCGTTTGAGTGACACCCACAAAGCACCCAAAGGAGCAAGAGCTGGGAAAAGACACCTTGCATTTCTTTATTTAGAGGGTTCGGGTTCTGAGGATACTTCATAATTCCTTTTTGACTTCTCTGACTTGCCCTGATTAAACAAAGCTGTTTGGGAACGCGGCGTATCTCCATCCACATCGCCACCTTTCAACATTCCCACGGGTGCATCGCCTGACATCGGTATCATTTCCCTACATGCACTGCTCACACACATGCTCAGCCTCACCCAGACACACACACACACACACACATACACACCGTGCATAGTAGGTGCTCAACCAGTACATAGTAGGTGCTCAGTTAATCCTCATGCCAGGAATGAATATGGAGAGACCGGGACCCCAGATAAGAGGTCAAGGTGTAAGTCGGGCACCGGTGGCTCACACCTGTCATCCTAGCTACTCAGGAGGCTGAGATCTGAGGATCCGTGGTTCAACGCCAGCCTGGGCAGGAAAGTCTGTGAGACTCTGATCTCCCATGAACCACCAGCAAACCGGAAGTGGCGCTGTGGCTCAAGGGGTAGAGCGCTCACCTTGAGCTGAAGAGCTCAGGGACAGCGCCCGGGCCCTGAGTTCAAGTCCCACAACCAACACAACTAAAAGAGGCCTAGGTGTGTTCAAAGTCAATGAAGCCCCGCCCATGGGTGCGTTTCCCCATGGAAAGGGTAGTTGGCCCAGAGAGGAGGTTGAAGAACACAGCTCCCAAGCCAAGAGAAAGAGTGTGAATGCATCGTGTTGCGGGAGAGAGAAGTTATTCAAATACTGCAGGTTGGAGCCAGAGCCAGCGCTGGGAAAGATCGCCTCGTCCCAGGGATTGCTTGCCAAAGCTAAGATGCAAATGGGGGGGGGGATGCGGCTGAAAGCGAAGTGCAGGTGTCTCGCTCCGTCTGTGAGCAGCATCTTAAAATAGAGCCCGCCATCTTCTTCGCCACCTGGAGATTCCCTGAGCACAGAGTAGACACCCAAAAGAGTTCCCGAAGGAAAAAAAGAAAAAGAAATCCCTCCATGAGTATCTCCTTCATTTCCTGTTCTTAGAAAGAAAAAAGTCTTCTAAGGTTTTTTGTGGGGTTTTTTTTTTTGGGGGGGGGTTAGGAGGGCTTGGTGCCAGTGCTGGGGCTTGAACTCAGGGCCTGGGCACAGTCCCTGAGCGTTTGTGCTTGACCACTTGACCCCCGCAGCTCCGCTTCTGGGAGTTTGGAGGTGGTTAATTTGGAGATAAAAGGCTCATGGCCTTTCCTGCACTGGCTGGCCTCGAACCACAATCCTCAGATCTCAGCCTCCAGAGTCACTAGGATGTCAGGTGTGAACCACACACTCCCAACGCCAAGATCTTTAATCAACTGAAGGGGAAAAAAAAAAAAACATCTTGACTGAAGTGAGAACCCTTCAAACTGAGGTTTCTCAATCAGGGTGGGTTTTCTTAGAGTTCCTGGAAAACTTGTTCCTTTTTTTTTTTCTTTTTCTTTTTTTGTTGGCATAAACCAAGTCCCAGGCAGTGATCGGCCATAGCTAAGGTAGTAGGAGCTCTTTCTAAACCTCCTCTGCTCTTTCAGACAGGAATACAAAGGGAGCCTGAGCCGTGTGCTGGTGGCTCCCGCCTGTCATCCCAGCTACTCAGGAGGCTGAGATCTGAGGATCATGGTTTGAGGCCAGCCAGTGCGGGGCAAGTCCATGAGCCTTTTATCTTCAGTGAACCACCGAAAAAAAAAAAAAAGCCAAAGGTGGAGTTGTGGCTCAAAGAGTAGAACACTAGCGTTGAGCCAAAGAGCTGAGGGAGAGAGCAGGTAGCCCTGAGTTCAAGCCCCACGACTGGCATTTAAAAACAACAACAGTGAAACTGAATGGCTAGAGTAGAAAAGCTCTAAGAATTGGAGTTGTGAAGTGTCGCGATATTAGGGTGTGGGTAGGCGGGACAAGAGGAAACAACGGGGGGGGGGGTCTCTGAATTCTCTACTCTTCGTTCCCTCACCACAACTAGTGAAGTAGTTCATTTGCATTTATTTTGCATATTGTAATTCCCATGCAGATTGTAGTTGGAGAAAATCTTCTGAGGCAGAAGAAGAAGAAAAATATAATAAAACCCTGAATGTCTGACTTAGGGAGCAAAGCAGGAAGAATATCATTAGCTAGGTACTTTAAGCCCCTATGAGGTTATAATATCACCAGTGCTCATGGTAAATGCAAGATAAAAATCAATATTAAGCTATAAACCACACGCACGCACATGCACACACTTGCACACATAAGCTGCAGTGTTCTGATTTCTAAAGTCTGGGGACTGCCAGGTGGCTCACCCCTGTCCTCTTAGCTACTCAGGAGGCTGGGATCTGAGGATCATGGTTCGAAGCCAGCCCGCGCAGGAAAAGACTGTGAGACTCTTATCTCCAGTGAATCACACACACACACACACACACACACACACACACAAAAGCCAGAAGTGGCACTGTGGCACAAGTGGTAGAGCACTCGCCTTGAGCAAAAAGCTCAGGGACAGCGCCCAGGTCCTGAGTTCAAGACCTGCACAAAATTATTACTATTTTCTGTTTTTGCAATATAGGGATCAGAAGCTGTTCATCAGCCCCTAGATGCCTGGGCCCCCCAAGAAACAACCCCCTTTCTTCTCCCTTCCCTTCCTGCCAGCTTATTGCTTTCTTGGCCTCAAAGTAGGGGTTCCCAATGTGGGACCATGTGCTCAACTCTACCACCCTCTCTGAGCAAAGCCTTTCTCATCCGAACCCCAACTCTTGTTTGGCAGGTTGGCTCATCTCCCCCAAATCAGACCAGCCGGGAACGCTGCATGCACATTCAGCCGTGTGCTAGGAAACGCTAACGCAAGATCGGCAGCATGGACTTTGTCATGAAGCAGGCCCTCGGGGGTGAGCCCTACCCCCCCACTTCTCCCCAGGGGTCCCACCTCTCCCCCAGACCAATCATCCACCCTCTTCACCATCGGGGACCTTGACCCTCCTGGTCCTCTCTCCCCAACTCCCCCCCTTTCCTCTCCCCTCCCCGCAGGGGCCACCAAGGACATGGGGAAGATGCTGGGGGGTGAGGAGGAGAAGGACCCGGATGCTCAGAAGAAAGAGGAGGAGAGGCAGGAGGCTCTCCGGCAGCAGGAAGAGGAGCGCAAGGCCAAGCATGCGCGCATGGAGGCCGAGCGCGAGAAGGTCCGGCAGCAGATCCGAGACAAGGTCAGCTTCCCCAGAGAGGCCAAAATGGCCCCCGCTGAACCCCGGCACCCCTCCCTTCCAGGATAACTTCAGAGAGGCCAGAATGCCCCCCTCCGTTCCCCCATCCCTTGTCCCCCTCCCCAACCCTGGTACCTGGCTTCCCTAGTAACTTCTTACCCTTTAGAAATCCTCAATGATCTAAACACTGAAAATTTCCCCCATATGTTTAGAATCTCTTTTTTTTTTTGGCCAGTCCTGGGCTTGAACTCAGGGCTCAGACGCTGTCCCTGAGCTTCTTTGGCTCAAGGCATGCGCTCTACCACCTGAGCCACGGCGCCACCTCCGGCCTTTTTCTGAGTGGTTTATTGGAGAGAAGCGTCTCATGGACTTTTTCCTGCCCAGGCTGGCTTTGAACCATGATCCTCAGATCTCAGCCTCCCAAGTAGCTGGGGTGACAGATGTAAGCCACCGGTGCTTACCCATGGATGTCATCTTCTGTGAATGTTGATCCAGGGATGTAGAAAGTCCTCGGGGATCACACCATCCTTGCCTGCTTCTCTGTCTCTCCGTCTCTCCTTGCCCCTCTCCCCCACTTGATAGTCTCCCTCTCTCTGCCTTTCCCTCCCCAGTATGGGCTGAAGAAGAAGGAGGAGAAGGAGGCAGAGGAGAAGGCAGCTCTAGAACAACCTTGCGAGGGTAGCCTGACCCGGCCCAAGAAGGCCATCCCTGCAGGCTGTGGGGATGAAGAGGAGGAGGAAGAGGAGAGCATCCTGGACACAGTGCTCAAATACCTGCCGGGGCCCCTTCAGGACATGTTCAAAAAGTAACGGGGACCACCCCAACCCCACCCCCACCCCCATTCCACTTTGTGACTAATTTTTCTTTTCTGTTGTCCTTCTTCTTTCTCTTCTTTCTTCATTTTATTTTCTCTTATGTTGGTTTTTTTTTAATTCAGTTAAGTCTCCGTTCTGAAGGGGGAAGCCTCAGTTGACCTCTGCGCCCCCCCTCTTTCCCTGGCCAGGGGTTTCCTCCCCCTCTTACCTTTCCTCAACCACTCCCCCCTCTGGTACCCTCTTTTCATTCCTGGGAGAATCTAGTCCACTCCCAAATAGCTTGGAAAGGGAAGACATCTTTGTCTCCAGCAAGGTTGGGGGTGGGGGGCAGACATTAGACCCAGAGTCCACGATACTTGGGGTCCTCCCTCCCCCAACACCCCACCTCCCCCTTCTAGAAAACTAAGGTCTATGTCAGTGTGGTAACTCTCCATACATTCCTTCACTGCTCCCCACTGCCGGGGGTGGGGGCAAAGGGGGCAAACCCCCCCCCTGGTCCCAGCCAGCCAAAGTAATGACACATTCCAGTCCTGCCCAGCATGCTGACCTTTGGCCTCTGACATTCCCATGAGCCTCCAGGTCAGGGCAGGGGTACCCAGTGGCCTGGCTCTGAGAAAGTGGGGGAGGTTCAGGGTCAGCCTGTCCCCGGGGCTAGGGTCTGGAGAGTAGGCTGAGGCCCTCCCCTTCCTCTTCCTTTTCTTCCTCCTCCTCCTCCTCCTCCTCCTCCCTGTCCCTGGCAAACCCCCGCCCCCCAGCCCAGAAGCACATCCTTCCCCCCCCAAAAAAAATCAAAACCTCACCCAGAGAGGCATGGCTGCAGCCAATGGGTCCTCTCTGGAACTTAATCCATCTATGGAAGAACCCCAGGACAGGGTAACCCCTTGTTTCCCCTTCAACCTCCCTAAGATCCTGGGACCCCACTGCCAGGCTAGGCCCACATTTGCCCAGCCAAGGGGTCCCTTGGACCCCCTCCCCCCCTCCCCTCCCACCATTCCCCCCCCCCAGAAAACACTTGGAGCCATCGGGCAGTGATGGACTTCTCCCCATGACAGACTTCTGCCATGGGGGAAGCCCAGCTGCCCCCATTCTACACAGCCCTTCTTCCCCATCCTGCTCTGTCCATGTGCTTCCAAGGCCCCGTGGTCCCCCCCTCAATGAGGACCCTACCGTTGGTGGGGGGGGCGTAGGGGGAGAAGCTAAAATGGCAACTGTCCATTCAATCCTATTGGCCAAGAGCAAGGGCTCCCAGGGAGGAAGGGGAGGGACTGTCATTCATCACCATGCCCATCTGATGGGCAGGACTTCCTGCTCTTTCCAGTTGTGTGAGAATGGGGTGGGGATGGGGGGGGGTAAAGAGAAGGAGGAGCGAGTGGGAGAAGGGAAGAAGGGAAAGTGAGTGCCTGCCTGCTGTGGGGTCGTGTGGCAGAGACCCCATCAGCTGCCATTTGACGCGGCCAAAGCTTGTGTCGTGGTTGGGAGAGCCGTGTCTAGAGATTGTGCGTGTGTGTGTTAGTCATCGTGCCTCTATGAGAGATCAGGGTGAGGGGTAGACCAGGTGTCTCTGGGTGGAGGTTGGGCCCTCCCAGGTGAGATAGGAAATTCATCTCATGCACGTGTGTAAGCTTTAAAAACAAGAACAAAAAACGGCCCGTGTAAGCCAGCCTTTGGTGGCTCACCCCGGACATCCCAGCTACTCAGGAGGCTGAGATCTGAGGATCGTGGTTCAAAGCCAGCCTGGGGGGAGGAAAGGCCATGAGACTCTTACCTCCAGGGAAATCGCCAGAAAGCTGGAAGTGGTGCTGTGGTTCAAAGTGGTAGAGCACTGTCCTCGAGCAAGAAGAGCTCAAGGACAGCCCCCAGGCCCTGAGTTCAAGCCCCACGACCGACCACTCCCTCACTTCCAAAAAGAAATGGTGTGCGTGTACAGATGTGTGTATGCGTGGCAAGAGAGAGAGAGAGAGAGAAAGAACACGGGTAAGACTCCCCCACCCCAACCCAAACCAGAGGTTTGGTCCCAGGGGGGCCACATCCAACAGGAGACCTTATTCTTGGCCTAGAATCTACCCACCCTTGGGTGGGGGGCGGGGGGAGGAGTTCCTGCCTGAGGTCCTCAGACTTTTCACTGGGATCACAACCCAGGCAGTGCCCCCCAGGAAGCCATGTTGGGCCCCGCGCCCCCCCCAGTCGGGGCCCATCCCCAAAGCTGGGGGCTAGGGAGGGAGGGGCAACTTGCCTCTTTCCCCCTCCCTCTGAAGCTCCGCCCCTCCCAACCCACCCCATCCCACCAGCTCCCCCTCCCCCCCCACCCCCGTTTGCATTCTGCAGGTTTTCCATTTTAGTGGATTTATGCTTTTATTTCCGAGAGAGAGACATACACCGCCTGTCTTCTCTGTCCGTTTCCAATAGTTAAAGCCATATCAGTTAGACTGCAATACTTTCAAGACGAGACAAAACAATCCATATGTTTCGGGAACCAGAAAAGTCCCCCCTGGTTTTGTCCCTTCTCCGGGGGGGTTGCTGGAGCTCCCGCAGGGCCAGCTCCCCCAAGACTTCCCCCTTTTCCCCTGCCCCCCTCCCCCCTGTACCCCTGTGTGGAGCCCTCCCCCTCCCCCCGCGACTTAGGGGGTTCCATGTCTGTCTGTGATGGGGAGCCGCCTTGCACCCCGTTGTCTGCTTGTCCGTCTGTCTCGTTTTCGTTGTATCCTGGGCAGGATGGTTATTCTCCAAGGCCCTGAGGTCCTGGGCCAGAGGCCCAGTTTAGGGGTTCTAAGTCCCCCCCAAAAAAAAGCTGGTATATAAGCTCCACTTTAGACACAAGGGCAGATACTGTCCCCTTCAACAGGGAACCCCCCCCCTCACACCGCGAAAGTAATTGGTTACAGAGTGCTGGGTGGGTGGTAGAGACCCGGCCATGTAGAATATCCCAGGGGTGTCTGAGGGAACCCCCAGATCCTCAGATGGGGTCTCCACACCCCACTCCACCCCCCCGCCCCTGATCTCTAGGATGGGCTCTGGGATTTTCAGGCCTCCTCCTCCCGTGCCCTCCAGGCTGGGCTGGCTTAGTCTGGGCTGGCACCCATCAGACCCCTCCATTCTGTTTTGGGGAAACAGAATTTTGAGGTCTTGTGGAGTCAGGGGCAGGAGGAGATGTCTGCCCAGCACAGACCTGGATGCCTTCACTATGGCCGTCCTTCGTGACACAGGCTGGGGAAAAGCCAGTGGGTGGCCCTGAGAGGGGGTTCCTATAACAAGCAGGAGAAGGGGTGTGCGCATGGGGTACCAGCGTAGACAATGTGTGTGGCCTACAGAATGAGATGAGACTCTGTCCTGGCTAGGACCCTGCTTATAGGAGGCCCAGAATTCACACACACACAGCTGGAGAGAGAAAGAGAGAGAGAGAAACAGGTTAGTGGCTCCCGCCTGTCATCCTAGCTACTCAGGAGGCTGAGATCTGAGGATCATGGTTCAAAGCCACCCTGGGGAAGGAAAGGCCATGAGACTCTTGATCTCCAAGTGAACCAGCAAAACCAACCAGCAGTGGAGCTGTGGTTCAAGGGTCACAGCACTAGCCTTGAGCAAAAGGGGAAAAAAAAAAAGCTCAGGGACAGCACCCAGGCCCTGAGTTCAAGCCCCAGGACTGGCACCCCCCCCAAAAAAAGGGAGGGGGGAAGGGGAAGAAGTCTCCTCCCTGTGTGAAGGAAAGGATTTCTCAGTCTCTGACCATGGGGTCGGGGATTTCCAAAATGGACATGGTCCACTTCAGGTCCTGATGCAAAGCATCATGGGATACTCCTACAGAGGCAGGCTCCTGAGGAATGAGAAAGAGAAAGAAGAGAGAGAGAGAAAGAGAGATGGAGGGAGGGAGAAAGAGAGAAAGAGAATGCAACAGAAGTATTACACACCAAGACCCCTCACAGGTGGGCAAAGCAGCCATCACAAAGACTTGTGGCTAAAGCGAAATAAAGGGGAGACCTCTCCCCCACCCCCACGAGCTAGCGGGGCTGCCCACCCCCTCCGGCCCCCCACTGTTATGATCTGGGCAGCCCCCCACGGACTCCTCCCCCCCTCAGAGACTGGGGGGGAGGTGGAGCATCACACTGGCTCGGATGGGGGAATAGTTCATCTAGGTCTGAGGACACCCCTTCCACCGCCACCCCCATATTTCAGACACCCCCTCCTTCCTGTGGCCTGTGTTCACTTCAACTGGGAAGAAAATGGAGGTGCTTGTTTGGTCATTCCTCTCTCCCCCCACCACACACACACACACACACAGCTGTGGAGACCCAGGGTGGGGAGAGAGAACCATCCTGCTCAATTGGGGGGACTCGCCCCCCTTCTTTCCCACATTTGTGCTGTGTCCTCGTTGCTCCGCTTCCTTTAAATGTGTCAGTGCCTGAGGGGAAAGGGAAGGGTCACCCCCTTGTGCGCCCCATCCCCCTCAACCTGACCAAAAGCCATGGCTGTTGCTCCCCGACCCGCACCCCCCTTTGTATGATGCAAATGCTGATGTACAAAATCAACCATGACAACAAAGAGAAGAGGAAAAAAAAAGAAAGAAAGAAAACCACCTTGTACAGCAGCTCTCTGACTGGTCTGTCTTTGCTCTGTTCGGCCGACACTACCAGGGTTACATGGGGGGCGGGGGTACCCCATTAACTGGCAAGGGTGGGGCTGAGCTCAAGAACCCCCAGAATATCTTCCTTGGACAACCAGCTGTGACGCTGTGAAAATGTTCGCAGAAACTGTCCAAGGGGGAGTAGAGGCTGCTCCCAGCCAGAGTTCCAGGAGCACCCCCATTTCCCTGGGCCAACGCAGAGTCCCCACAGTGCAGGCTGAGCCCCCACACCCATCCCTGAGTACCCTCTCCCTCCCCCAAAACTCCTCGGGACATATTCCTGAGATTATCTCCAAGTCCTGCCCAGGCATGGGTGGCTCACGCCTGTCATCCCAGCTACTCAGGAGGCTGAGATCTGAGGATCGTGGTTCGAAGCCAAC